GCCAGTGCATGCCTTATGCGTCGTTTAGTCGTGTTTTTGTGCTTTTTGTATTTGTAAGTACGCCCTCACCATGGTATAATTACTAACAAGGTGACGTCGTCAGCTGAGTGGAGGACCACCAGCTTATTCACCAAGCTCTCTCAGCTATCAGAGAGGCAAGTGCTCGAGAGAGATAGCAAACGTTTTACATTCTGCACTCTTCGCTTTTATTGTTTCTGCTAACAGCAAAGTAAAGATTTGGAGAGATTCTAAAAAAGATTTAATTGAATAAAGATTCAATCACATACACATTCCTTTACACACCCAAAATAAAATAGTAGTTGCATGCATATTTCATTGTTGTCCGCTTGCGTCTTCATTCGTAAACAATAAAGAAAAAGAAGAAGACAATGAAAAAATCGTGCGCTACACAACCTCTTTCGTCGACGTTTGGCAAACGACTGACAAGCTGGTGGGCCTCCAATGAGAAGCCACTGTGGTGAATCCGTCACCTTATTAGTAATTTCACCATGGCCGAATCCATCATCACTCAATTACGAAGACGAAATATTAGCCGAAACCGAAAGCTTAAGCTTTAAGATTCCCAACTGATGTCTCGAGATCAATAACTCGAGAACAAGGCAGTTCCGTTTGAGACTTTCCAACATTGAGTTGGGGAAGTCATTATCATATCCCATGTTCTATTATATAAGTTCGGCTAAATAAAATATCTTTTTAAAAAAACTACTTTTGAACTCGGGAATTCTTATTGGCGCAGCCGGTAGGATTCACAAACACTAACGTTATTGTTCCGGTACTAATATATTAGAAGCAATCTAAACAACTAGATTACTGGAGATTATCGAAGCTAGTTAGACCACGTGAATCCGCCAAAGAACGTAGGTGCAACGTAGCACTAGCCAAACACAAACGTTAAACAAAACAATAATTGTGTAACCAAAATCGCAACGATTATATAAATCACCAACAGCAATGATTTGAATAAACCAACAACTAAATAATCCATTGAGTGAAACACACGTGAAGTGAACTAAAATTAATTACAAATCAAAATGGCATTACCAATTGCAACCCTTAGTGAAATTCACCTAAACCAAGCACTACGGTCGACAAGTGCCAGCCTATGACGGATCAGCTGGAAAGCTGAGCTCCTTCATCAAACGCGTTGAGTACATACAAGAACTGTACCCGATTCAGCTGACCGAAGAAGCACAAGGATTCTCACAAATGGTGCAACCCAACACCTGGCTGGAGCTGAAGAATGCTCTAATAGACGAATTCAAGAACCACACACCATACGAAGAACTTCTGAGACAAATCTACTTCACAAAATTCAATGGGAAAATAAGTTTATCGAAGATCTAGAAACTAAAGTCCTTGTAGTTACTAATAAGCTAGCATTAGAAAACAGTGCAGCCAACACCTTGATCTATCAAAACGCATTAAATAATACAATTAAAGATGTAATATCGCGTAAACTCACAGATGGGACCTTTATGACATTAGTCCGAAAAGACATAACAACACTGTCTAAACTTAAAAAGGCAGCTCAATAAGAAGGCTTGTAGGAAGTTAAGATTTAAGATAAGAATACCAATAAAGATCAGCATAAACCGCAGCGGTCCGCTTAGAAGAATAATGGGAATTATTACCCAAACTTAAGTAGCAATACACAACAAGCTCAGAATCCATTTTGTTCAGGTACATCTAGGCACAATAATAACAATCCTGGACTGCAACAGGAATTTCGTAACTCCTTGAATAAAGGTCAAGCACAAAATCCTGTGAATTATCAAATGAATCAAAACCAAGCTAGTGGCAGCAGGCCCAATCAACCTACTAAAGGATTCGAGAAAGCCAAGGCGACCAGATGAAAATGGATGTACATTTTCATCAAACAGCCTCGGAAGAAACCGAGGGGGATCCTATATAAACCTAAAACTAAATAATTAAATACTTAGATGTATCGTGGATTTTGGATCATCAATAAACATCATAAAAGAAAACATTCCTAATGCCTCCATAAATATAGAAAACCTCAAGGTCCATACCATCAACGGACCGTTAAGTTAACCAAAAGTATAGGTTAATAGGCTCCCCAATAAAGTCTGTCCCAGTGAGCAGAAGTTCTACCTGTATAACTTCTCGGACAACTAAGATATCCCTTTGGGAAGAGAATATCTGTTGGCTAGCAAAGCCATATCAATTAAAGTAACAATACTGTAAGGTTAGGAGAAAGAACATTCCCAATCATTATTAGTGGAGAAGCAATTGAAGAAGTTAAGACCGCACATAAGTGCAAAAATACATCTTCAGAAGAAGATAATATCGCACAGAAGCGCCTTGACTCATCCTCAGAAGGGGATCAATACTTCACTTCCGCTATCGATAATGAACTAAGGGAATGTCACGAGCTAAGGCTAAAGCATCTGAACGATGAAGAGAAAGAAAAATTTAAGCGATGTGCAATACAGAGATGGTGACAATTTGACCTTTTGACAATTATTCCTTGTTCAATAATTTCTTTGATTTGATTAGTGACTTCTTCGTCATGTCATATCCCGCATCTTCATTTTGTGTTTGAATTGGATGTTTGACAGTACTTGTGAGATCAAATTGTCACCATCTCTGTATTGCACATGATTTCGCACGATTTTGCACGGATTTCGTAAATCGAAATCGCCTTACTGTTCCCCCATTTCAATGATTCCGAAGAAGATAGACGCTTCCGGAAAACAGAAGTACAGGAAAGTCGTAGACTATAGAGGTCTCAACGAGATAACCATAAAGGATAAGTTTCCAACTCAAAGAATGGATGAAATCCTAGACAAATTAGGAAAGTGCCAATATTTCACCACAATCGATTTGGCAAAAGTTTTCCATCAAATTCCAATGGAACATAATTCGATCGCGAAAACGGCCTTCTCTACGAAACATGGTCATTACGAGTATACTCGAATGCCATTTGCGCTAACGAACGCCCCTTAATTTTCACAGACTGTTTGGTGTACTTAGATGACGTAATAATTTTCTCCACTTCATTGGACGAACACCCTCTGTCACTAAGAAAATACTTTGGCAAGCTGAGAGACGCAAACCTCAAGCTACAAATGGATAAGTGTCAGTTTCTGAAGAAAGAAACTGAGTTCCTAGGTCATAGAACTCCCGAAAGAATAGTATCCCAACAAGATCACAGCCATCATAGGGTTTCCCATCCCCGAGACCACAAAACAAATCAAGTCATTCTTAGGACTATGCGGATTTGATAGGAAGTTCATTCCTTCGAATTCGAGAGGATTTCGAGAGACTAAAAGTACTCATCACCTCAGACCCAATTCTTGTATATCCAGACTTTACCAAAATGTTTTCTGTTACTACCGACTCCAGTAACATGGCTATAGGTGCAGTCCTATAGCAAGACCATAAGCTGATCTGCTACGCCTGCTACGAACGCTGAACGAACATGAGATCAATTATTCCGCTATCGAAAAATAATTGTTAGCAATTTCCGATCATACTTGTTCGGAAGAACATTCGAAATACTTAGCGACCATAAGCCCTTAGTATTAGGTTGAACCACCTCAAAGAACCAAACATGAAACTACAAAGGTGGACGATCAAATTAAACGAATTCGACTTCAAAATCAAATATCTACCTGGCAAAAAAAACCATGTAGCGGACGCCCTTTCCCGAGTTAAAGTTAACGAAAACCTACTCGGAGAATTCTCTGACGGTGCAGGCGCCACAATACACAGTGCGCAAGAAGACAATCTCAATCATATTCCCATTACAGAACGACCAATCAACTACTTCATCGGAAGATTGAGTTGATCAAGGGAGATGAAGATAAAGTAACTACACAACACTATTTACATAAATTGATTATCAAAATCACATACAAGGAAATGACCAACCCCTTGGCTAAAGAACTCATTAAGGAATATCTATGTACCAAAGAGACTTCCATAACGAGACTGATTTCCCAACTTTCCAACAAGCGTATTTTGAAATTATCAGTCCAAACAATTTCACAATAGTTATGAAATCAAGTTAAAAACTCATAGATATACCCAATTACGCGGAATTCAATAAATTGATAATGAAAACCCGTAAAGAATTACTTCACCCTGGAATAGAGAAAACCATCATTTGGTTTAAGGGAAAATGCTACTACCCTGACCAACAAAAATTGATACAAAATATTATAAACGAATGTACAACGTGTAATATTGCCAAGACTGAGCATAGAAACACCAAGTTGCCATTTGAAGTAACAACGGAAGTCTTAATCATCCGAGAACGTTACGTAATAGACTTCTATGTAATAGATAACCAACAGTTCGTATCATGTATCGATATATACTCAAAATTCACTACACTAATTGAAGTGAACAGTCGTGACTGGTTAGAAAACAAAAGGGTGATACAAAAGTCTTTAATGAAATGGGAAAACCCCAAAAAATTAAAGCCTCTCGCAACCGATGCTTCGTCTCCCTCAGCCGAAGCCATCATAACTCAATTACGAAAACGAAATATCAGCCGAAGCCGAAACCTTAAGGAGATAAGCTATAAGCTTCCCAACAGAGGTCTCGAGATCAATAACTCGAGAACAAGAAGGCAGTTCCGTTTGAGACTTTCTAACATTGAATTGGAAAATTCATTATCATATCCTATGTTCTATTATAAAAGTATATTCATATTATATGTGTATAAATAAAAAAACCTACTTTTAAACTCGGGAATTCTTATTATATAATTATTTATATGTTATATATATATTTAAATTCATTTTGCATTATGTTAACGCTGACATCTGCAGCTTGTGGCAGTTTAATTATTATTTAAATTAAAATAAATTCAGCAAAATGTCTTACAAAAATCAAATGCCCAAAACTATGCAGCGATCTATTTATATGTTTCCAAGCAACATGTTGCCATGCCTTGGGGCTTCAACAAAAACTGAAACTGGTGCAGAAATTAAATGCAAACATAATTTAAATTAAATATTACCATTCAATAAAAGCTAAATTAGAGCTTTGTATTCACATTGAAAATACTATTTGGAACAGACCTAGGTAGCTAGAAGTATTCCACATGGAATTGCAATTCGGAAACCAGCGTTCAACACACAACTGGCGGGAAAAATGGGTTCTAAAAAATAACCCAAATAAAACGAGAAGAGACGTGTGAGACGCTTCTTACACGGCACAACTTTATACCCGGCACTCAGTACTACATCTGCACCTTAGCGGTGTTTTGTCAAATTTTAAATTGTTCTTCATCTGTCATCAGCATCTTCAACACTTCTCACACCAACACGCTCCTTTATCTCTCCCCCTTCCCTAAACCCACACACTGCAGACCCGCGGCAGAGGCAGGGGCAGAGGCAGGGGCAGAGGCCGCTGACTACACGAAACTGAGTGTAAATGAAAAAATGTGAAAGAACAACAAAAGCTGCGAGACAGGGTGGGTTTAGCCACTGCGAATTGATTTCTTCATTATGGCAATAATAATGATCCAACGGATCCCAATTTGGTGATCTGATAGATATGGTCATTCCCTACGGAATTGCGTTGTTGTGAGCAACAAAAGTTGTGACGGGTAAAAAGCGTCTCACACGTCCCTTCTCGCTAGTTTTCTTTTATCTTAAAAATTGTAGATTTGGGATGTTTTCGCCCTTTTGCGGGGCGGAAGGGGCGTGGCTCATTTTTGAAATACACTTGCAACAGTGTGAGCACACAGAAGTATGAATGCAAAATTTGGTGGCTCTAGCTCTTATAGTCTCTGAGTACTAGGCGCTCATCAGGACGGACAGACGGACGGACAGACAGACATGGCTCAATCGACTATTGATGCTGATCAAGAATATATATACTTTATGGGGTCGGAAACGTTTCCTTCTGTACGTTACATACTTTGTGCACAAATACAATATACCATATTTACTCTTAGAGTACCGGGTATAAAAAGGAAAAAAATAAACAAATTAGGAAATTGGACCTTGTCTAGTGTCGCAGCAGCATGTTGCTGACCTTGGCTTCCGTTTTGGTGTGTGTGCTGCTGGAGATCTTCTCGCGGTACTGCCGATTCTCGGGATTTGCCAGCACCGAGGCAATGAACTCCGATGTGTCCAGCTTCTCGCGGTACTGCCGATTCTCGGGATTTGCCAGCACCGAGGCAATGAACTCCGATGTCTCTAGCTGCAGCTGTGCGAGACGCTTCTGCAGCAGCTTATTACGCTGCACCAGCTTGATCGTCTTGATGGCAATGGACAGCAACCCGTCGCTGTTTTGATGCTGGCAGTGCTGCTGCAGCTGTTGCTGCTCCTTGGTGGGCTCCTGCGAGTACTCATAGCCACTGTCCCCATCATCATCCAGCATCGCCCCGGCCAGTGAATTGTCGCAATTTTTGGCTGTGACTGCTGCTCCTCTGTGAATATAACTGCAGCTGTTGCTGCTGTTGGCCATATTGGGCTGTAATATTTTTTTAAAGTTCTCGCTGCTGGAATGTTGCAGTAGTTGAAGTTGCATCTGCTGATGCTGCTGTTGCGAGTCTGCCGACACGCTTTGGCCCCACGCTGCTTGCAGCTCTGTTTGTGTGGCTGCCGCTCTACGGCTGCCATTCGACTGAGCGGCTGTCACTCTCCTGCTGGCCTCCGCCTGAGTGCCACGTCGTAGGGCTGCCTGCGGTACAGTGGCACTGCCTGAGATCAGTGGCAGTCTACGGTACAGCCTGGGGAAGCGTCGGCGACCCGCTGAAGAGTTTATTGAACCTTTGGCAACTGAAAAGAGGAGAATAAATGAGTATTAGGCAGAGGAGAGGGGTGCTTTAGGGGAAGCACGGCTGGGTTGCAGTGGGACCTAAGACTGCTGTAAAGTGTCTTGAAGTAAGTAAAGCAACCTGTTACTGCTAAAAACATTGTAGCTCATTTCAGTTGCTAACCAGTACGGTTGTCAAGCGTTCATTTGCTGTCCCTCAATGCCGCCTCTATGCCGTCTCCCTGACGCTACATAAACTCTCCCTGCCAATGACAGGCAATGGTTTCGCCTGGTTTCCCAATTGCAGTTCCAGTCACAGTCGTAACACACTCTTTTTCATTAAACAGTTACTTCCAGCACTAGTCACACTCTCTTTTTCATGAGTCGACGTCTGAGCAGAGAACAGAAAAATAGCAACACTCCCACATGTCCAACCGTTTCCGTGCCTGTGTCTATGGCAATGGCGCTCATTCGAACGGCACGGCCCTGCACCTGTTTGTGTTGTGTAAATATAGAGCTTACTAGAACTTACTTATTGACGAGATCAGCCCCCAAAACCCCACAAGCGAGCGCCAGTGCCCTGAAACGTGAGTGTGCGACGTGCGTGTTGGCAGAGTCACCTTCGTGGTGCTAATTTGTACTATTTTTTAATTTCTTAAACTTATTGGGTTTTCCCTTGATAACCGCCGACAGTGCCGAATGCATTTCCTCCAGTGGTGCATTCAAATCGTTCTCTACATTGCTACATTGATTCTTGGCCCTATTCGATTGCTCGAACTTATCGAACCGTTGCTCCATTTCCACGCTCAAATCGGTTATAAAGCTGCACAAGTCATCGATTTCACCGCGAAAATCGCGCACTTCGCGCGGCATGCGACTTTTCATGAGGAAGAATTTGTTACGTGCAAAAAACCGGTAAATGTGCACCTTGGCCGTTTTTTGTGCCTCAATTTTGGATATTTTGTGATGCATCAGATGCTGATAGCGCTCCAGACATTCGCGGATTTCGCTGTGCACCTGTTTGGTCCACTTATTGAAGCCTTGGACACGGGTCGACATCAGGCGGAGCTGTTTGTTCATAGCACACAGGTGCAGGCGGAATGTACGCGGGATGCTGCGCAGCTTTTGATAGCTGGAGATCAGGTCAGATATTTCACACTGCAGGCGGTGATAAGCGTGCTGCAACCTACGCACTTCGAGCTTTTCCTGGCAGGTTAGCTCCAGGGGATGTGGCTGTTCTGGCTTTGGTTCCGCGACTTCTATTTTGACCCCCAGTTGCTTCCTTTTCCCCTCAACCTCCTTGCATATCAGCTGAAATCTAGTTAGATATTCCTCCTCTTGCTGTTTTTCTTCCTCTGCCATTCGCTTCTCGGACATATCTTCATTCGGCCGATGCCTAATGGCCAGTTGCATTAGTTCTATGCGCTGTATCAAACAGTCAATTTCAGCCACCGCACGTATCGCACGATCTTCGTCATCCTGTATGGCATCCTCTGTGTCTGGTGTCGGCTCAATACTTAGCTCCTCCTCTTCACCCGTAAAGCTGACAGCCGCGTCATAGTCAAAGATTTCAATGGTGAGACATTTCAGGGTGCGCCGTATGAGATCCATGCGATCCAGCGGCATCTTGGAGCAGTCGATGACCTCCAGCTCGTCCTTAGTTGTAATATCCATTTTTGTGTGTTAACTGGAATTTCTGTATTTTCTACAACTGTATTTTTATTTTCGTTTTCTTTAGCTTTTGAACCTAAAGCAAAGCCTATTTTGATTTGTCGCCCACAGGCACATCGTGTATGCGCTGCCCGTCACCGTTGTATGTATTTGAGTGGCGCTATCTAACAGGCGCGTGTTCTTGGCATGTGCACACCAGAGACAGACAACACAAAGCTCAACACAAGTGCTCCTCAGTGGCAAACCCCATGCTCTGCGACGCGACCAACCACCCGCCAGAGAATTTACTTATGTACATACATATGTACTTCCTGAACTGCCAGAAAGTGCCTTTTGCTGCTGGCGTTCTCTCTTGTTGCTATTCTACTTATGCATGGTGAACCCTGTACGTGAAGGAGATGGAGCTTGTGTAAATGTTGTAATCTGCCCAGAGGCTACCAAAGTGGCCCCTAAACTTAGTGTGTCTACTTCTGTTTATCCGTGTAATCATTACATTGTAATAGGTGCCTTCTAGTCGTTCATCCCACAACCTTACATTTTGCATTTGCATTGCATTTCAGAGTGGCTGTGCCTTATGTTTGTGTTTGCTATTTGCCGTGTGTTGTGCTCAATGTATATGCATAGAGCGTCTATGTGTGTATGTCTGTTATTGATTAGTTAACGCTGTAATAATTATTAAACTAAAATAACAATGTAAACGACTCGGAACGTTTGTGAGACGCTTCGTATGTGACACAAATTGTATACCCGGTCCTCAGTCAGTATATATTTACATACATACATGTGTAAGTACAGTTGTACATATCGGGTCGGAGACGTTTCTTTCTGTGCGTTATCCACTTTGCCGCACAAATACAATATACGGAACGTGCGAGTCCCTTCTTACGCGTCAAAACTTTTATACCTGGTACTCAGTAGGACATCTGTACCTAAGTGTTTTTTTTTTCAAATTTAACATTTTACATTTTTTCTAAATGTGTCATCTACATCTAAAACTGCACCACTTCTCACGCTATCACGCTCCTTTAGCTCGCCCCCTCCTCTACAGACACACACTGCCCGAAGCAGAAAGTGTAATGAGAGAATGTGAAAAAAATTTAAAAAAACTGCTGGACGGGGGTAGCCCAAAATAATTTCTTCATTGTGTATACTCACACTGTTACAAGTGTAATTAAAATTTTCGACCCGCCCCTTTCCGCCCACGCAAAGATAAAAAATCTGTGGTATCCACAATTTAAAAGATAAAAGAAAACTTAAAACGCCATTCGGTAGGGAAGAACCATATCCATAACCATAACCATATCAGATCACCGAGTAAGGATTATATTGGATCATTATTTTAGCCAGAATGACAAAATGCTTTGTCAGTGGCCAAACCCAGCGGTATATTTGCATCTCCCTGGAGCGGGATTTTATTTTATTTACATGTTTTGCACATTTTTCTTTGCCTCGGCGTTTATATTGGTTGCTGCTGTTGGCCCTGGTGCTGTATACAAAATTATCATGAAGCTATTTCAAGCCCAATATCTTTCAGAAAAGTTAGTTGGTTCGAAGCGGAAAAATCGTTCGGGTAGTGTAATCTATCAAGTTTAAGGTTTCATTCACATACAAATTCATAAATTAAAGTTATTCCCCACAAGCAAAACCCAAGGAGACTTCCTGAAATCACCTTGTTATGAACAGTTAATATCCATTTCATTGTCAGTCAGGGAGGAATTAGGTAGGCATCCGGACAACCGGAGCAGCAACAGGGGGTGGCATGTGGGCCAATTGCTGACGCAAATCGTGGTAGTATAACCCAAAAGTGGCGTGCCAGCCATGCAAAACAGCAACCAACAGCCTATATAAAGACGAGTCAAACACCGGCAACCAGCCAGCAGCCAACACGTGAAGCGCCCAACGACACAACAGGGCATGAGACACGTGCGTCCTCTAGTTCAGCTACAGATGAAGAACAGAGAGGAGCAGTTAAGAGCAGAGACGGAGCAGAAAGACAGGGAGAGAGAGAGGAAGAAACCCGTGGCAGGTGGAAGTGACATAGGAGAAAGCAGAGATAGCTGTGGAGGGGATGAACTGTAGCTGGGAACGGACTGGAAATCAGAGAGACAAAGCGTAGATTGCAATAAATATGTATAAGGCAATGTTACCTATGCGCCACGTGCGCCAACCGCAGGCTCAACTGCTGAGCGCAGCACTTAGCGAAAAATTACATCATGGGAGAGTCGGAGATAAATAGAAAAAGTGACGAAAAGAGCTGCTGATTTGGGAGACCCTTCTTGTATATTTTATTAGAAAAGTGTATTACCGCAACAACCTTACAAAACGGCCAAAAAGTGAAGTATAGTTAAACATAATTTAATGATCACGCACACGTGTGATTTATTATGTGGTTAGTGGCTCCCCTGAAAACGGACCTAAGAGCAAAGGAAATTGCACTCTCCGTCACGATTTTCCCTCAAGAAACCAAACCAACTTTTTCTGAACGATATAGGGCTTAGAAATGGTTGATGATTGAATTTTTATACCCGGTACTCGAAGAGTAAGTAGGGCATTTTGTATTTGTGCAAAAAGTGGATGTATGTAACGCACAGAAGGAAGCGTTTCCGACCCCATAAAGTATATATATTCTTGATCAGAATCAATAGACGAGTCGATAGAGCCATGTCTGTCTGTCCGTCTTTCCGTCTTGTTCGTCGGCTAATTCTCAGAGACTATAAAAGCTAGAGCCACCAAATTGGCTCCGGACTGCTGTATGCTCACACTGAAACCAGTGTATTTCAAAAATAAGCCACGCCCCTTCCGCTCCCGCAAAAGGGAGAAAACCTTCCAAATCTACAATTTGGAAGATAATTTGAAGAAGATTTGGGATCCGATTGGATCATTATTATAGCCAGAATGAAGAAATTAATTTGCAGTGGCTAAGCCCACTGTCCCGCAGCTTTTGTTGTTCTTTCACATTCTCTTATTCACACTCTTCTTCTGCTTCACTCGGCCCCTGCCTCTGCCCTCCCCCTGCCCATGCCTCTACCGACTCTTAACCAACCCCGTCCCGCAGCTTATATTTGTTTTTTTTTTGCGATCGCTGCCTCTGCCTCTGCCGCGAGTCTGCAGTATGTGGGTCTAGGGAAGGGCGGCGAGCTAAAGGAGCGTGTTGGTGTGAGAAGTATTGTAGATGTAGATGACAGATGAAGAAAAAATTTAAAATTTGACAAAACACCGCTGAGGTGCAGATGCACTATTGTCCCAATGAGCAGTTTTGGTGGCTGTTTACGCCAAATTAGCGCAAAGGGCTTATGGCCGGGAGCAATTAGTATTTTGATATTCATTTTACTTAAACATCGTAATTCTATAACTTAACAACGTAAATGCTGTGTGAGTGTCTTCAAACAACGATATCTTGTATGTACATTATACACTTATGCTATCTCTTTCTCCTTCTTGTACGTAAATTATCCACTTATAGCTTTAACTTTTCTTCTTCTCTAATTTATGATTTGAATTCCGACTCGGTCGAACCAGCGGCACTTGTCCTTTTATTTCGAGATTTTGATTCCGAACTGGTTGCGAGGAGTTGCGGAAACAGTGGCCAAAAGCTAACTTTTAAAAGTTATAACCAAGACTCGGTTTTTAACGCTCTGTATTAGAAAAAGAGTGACCATCAAAGTTGCGTATAAGAAATTNGAACATACATGTAATATGTGAATACGATAGAGAAAGAGGAAGAACATGCATTTAATAGGTGAATATCGAAATTGAAAAGAAGAAGAGATTAAATTGATTTGAATTCCGACTCGGTCGAACCAGCGGCACTTGTCCTTTTATTTCGAGATTTTGATTCCGAACTGGTTGCGAGGAGTTGCGGAAACAGTGGCCAAAAGCTAACTTTTAAAAGTTATAACCAAGACTCGGTTTTTAACGCTCTGTATTAGAAAAAGAGTGACCATCAAAGTTGCGTATAAGAAATGTTCTTAGATGGCGCCACTTTCGAAAAATCTGCTGTGAAACCTAGCGGTCATTATTGCACAGAATGTGCAGGGAAAAAGTACCAATTTTATGTCTGGACGTTGATATGCAATGACTGCACCATCAAGTGGCCCATGCGACACCAAGCCAAAGCCTGTTACGCGCGGAACACATCAGAACGCAGCCCTCCTCCCGCCCAACCGACCGAGGGGCTCTGCCGCAATACGAGCGGCGCGATTAACCAAACCGGTCGCGAGCATGCAGGAAAGATAGATGTTAGGCTAATATTCGAGGAAAATTAGAGCTAAACACAACTAGACTAGAGCTACTATAGCTAAGCAAGCAACAATTACCAAAAACAAAAACAAGACAAAACTAAAATGAAACTAAATACGGCTCTCCATCCGATCATATTCTCTAAATTCTTCTCCTTCCCTCAATCAACTCCTATATTACACCATCTCCCTTAATATTAGGCTCGTATTTTGGGATTTCCCAAGCACACTCCGTATTAAGCTAGATGTATCACCTTCCTTGTTTCCTTATTTCAAAGATCACCCAGATTACCCTTAGCATTTCAAATACGCCGACAGCAGTTCAGGGCTGTCTACATCCCCCTTGATCAAGTTGTGCATAAAAATTGCACCAAGCATTTTTCTACGACTAAGTAAGGATGGAAGATTTATTAAAAGAAGTCTACTACGGTAGGATGGCAGTCTCACAGTTGCATCCCAGTTGAGGCCCCATACGGCAAATAATAAAAAGTTTTTCTGTACTGATTCAATACGGTCCTGACGTATGTTGTACTGAGGGCACCATACACATGAGCCGTATTCTAAAATCGGACGAACAAGCGAGATATAGAGAGTCTTCGTTATATAGGGGTCATAAAATTCCGTTGACCACCTCTTTATAAACCCAAGCACAACCATGGTTTTATTAACCATGGTAGAAATGTGTTCAGAAAACTTTAACTTGGGGTCTAGTTTAACACCTAGATCATCAACAAATGTAATTCTCTCAAGATAACTACCGCAGAGGGTGTAAGGAGCCAGGAAGGGGCTGGAGCGATAAAAAGTCATTACATTGCACTTCGAGGCATTAAGTTGTAACATATTTGCACAGCACCATGACTGGAAGCTATTGAGATCAGATTGCAAGCGAGAGTGAAATGAAATGTCCTTATACTGCGCACAGAGTTTAACATCATCCGCATACATAAGTACTCGAGAATTTGTTAATACAGAAGGCGGGTCATTAATAAAGAGTGTGAAAAGTAAGGGGCCTAAATTGCTACCCTGTGGTACTCCAGAGGTAACCATAACAGGTAAAGATAAGGAGTTATTTGAAAAGGACCCTTTGAGACCTAGAACACAGGTAGCTAGAAATACATCTCAACAGATTGGGTTTAGAGAATGGTTTACAGAATCGAATGCCTTACTGAAGTCAGTGTAAATAACATCCGTCTGTAAGTTACCTTGGAATCCTTTAATTACAAAGGAGGTGAACTCTAAAAGATTAGTGGTTGTTGATCGTCGCCGTATAAATCCGTGCTGAGCTGGAGATATAAGTGATTTGCAGAGATGCTGCAAGTGCGGAGTTAAAAGTTTCTCGAACATTTTAGGAATAGCGAATAACTTAGATATACCTCTATAGTTTTTAGCGTTAGACTTGCTACCTTTCTTATGGAGAGGAATTTTAAGGATTCCTTCCAGATGGGGGGAAAACTAGAAGAATGGATGGATAGAGTGAATAGTTCAAGCATAGGTATGCACAGAGACTCGGCACAGTACCTGAGTACACAGCCGGGAACTCCGTCAGGGCCCGGTGAAAATACCGGCTTAACTAATTGAAGTTCATGAAGTAAGGAGCCTTCATTAAACAAAAGGCAGAAAATGCCATTCGACCTTGGTAAACTATATGGATACATATGACCTGGGTAGCTTTCCTGGGAATAGGTGGTTAGAAAAAATTGTGCAAAAAGAACGCCTGATCATTTTTTGCCGACATATTCAAAAATGATAGCGAGGATGGATGTGCGGACGTTCTATGCTTACTGTTTACAAAGCTGTAAAACTGTTTAGGGTCCTGTGAAAAACGTATTGAGGATTAAGAACAGTGAAATTTGACCGAGCTATTAAGTAATTAGAAAGAGAAGAGGGAGAACCAACTTCTTGAGATTTTTTAAATAGTCTTGATTTTAGATTTTTTAGACTGTATAACTCTTTGGTGAACCAAGGTGGTTTCGCAGATCTAGTCGGACATGAAAGTGGGACACACGTGTCAAAAATTGTCAAGTACATTGTAAAAAATGTTTGTGCCTTCAATGACGTCAGTGCACAAGTACAGAGCGGACCAATCAAAATTTCTAATTAAGTTATTGAGCTTCGTAAACTCGGCTTTACGAAAGCAGCGGACGCGTTCAGATAGCCTACCCGCACGATCCGATACAGTAGGTTCAATGTCTATCGACACTTCGAAAGTAGGATGATAGCAGTCTTCAGGTATAGTGAGCGGGAGTGCTCGTGTTAACAACGTTCTGTTTGTTGTTCTGTTTTAAATATATCATAAATTGGAAAATACGAGTAACGGATCCAATTTTTTTGATGCATTTTATTTAGTAGGCTTTTTACTTCGTGTTCTGTAATGTGAACGATATCTAGTGGTTGCGATGTCTTCTACATCTAGATGTAGTCCTGAGTGCCGGTTATAAAAGTTGCAACGCGTAAGAAGCGTCTCACACGTCCCTTCTCGTTCTTACAGAGTATCCGATTTCTATCATTTATTGGCTGTTGTGTGTAAGGGGGAGCGGAGGGTTGCAGTTACTCACCATAGCTAAGCACTGAACTGATTTGTGTGGGAGCAGCTGAAGGCGAGGATGAAATTGACGTTGACGCTGACGATGGCGACGACATTGACGATGATGATGATGATGTGGTGGTATTGGTGACTGATGATATGACTGCCATGGCCACGACACGATGCCGCCTCGTATCTCTCAACTGTTTTTTGTCCGAACATATCGTGGGCGCCATTATTTCTGCAAAACGAACAAAACAAACACACAAAATCACACACCCAGAAATTAATTAGCCGCCAAAATTGATTAATTGTTATGCATACATATGAAATAACCTTAGCTCCTCTTGGTAGCGCCTGGGCTGCACGCACAGTTAAGTACGAACACTAAGCAAGTAACTTATAGAGACGTCAAACTGACTTAAAACTGGCCGCTAATTCAGTATAGGGGATTGGCTCCCAGTGCCTTCGGCTCTTGGTGCAAATGCCTTCGGCTGAGAGAGTTTGGCGTTTGGTTCTCTTGAGCATTGAACGCAAAGCGACTCGCAAAAACAAAGAATTGTTTTTTCTTTTCAAATCTGATTTGTAATTTCATGTGTGCAGTGACATATACATACATATAAAGCGTTTTCATTTTTAGAGCTTATGAAGTTAGAGAGTTTGGCATTTTTGTGTTGCTTCTGCGCTCACATACCCTTTAAATTTATAAATTTAAATTTAAAAAATAGTTTAAATCTTGCACAAAAAAAGCAAAATCCTGGCTAAAGACCAAACGGGCGCAAAAGGTAAATAAACTCAAAGTAGAGACGGAGGTGGAGTTGAAGAAGAAGACGGGAGACTATTGATGCTGAAAGCATTTTGCTGTGCCTCCTACAAAATTCTCTCAAGTGATGGTGGATAGGGGCACTGCTGGGAGGCAGTCAAATTCAAGTTGAAGGAGGAAGAACGTTGTGAGACACGTTGTACGCGTCACAACGTTTATACCCGGTACTTAGTCATTATATACATATGTATATACGTATTTACGATACGAATTTTACATTTTACACTTTTTCTATTTCTGTCATCTACAGCACTTCTCACAGCAACACGCCCTTTGGCAGCCACCCTTCCTCAGAGCCGAACCGGAAAGCATTACTGTTTGAGGGAATGGAGGTCAAACAAGATGGACAGACGGACGGACAGACAGATATATGTACATACTATGTAACTATATGGGCTCAGCTATTGATCCTGATCAAGAAAATACTTGTATAGGGTCGGAAACGTTTTTTTCTGTGTGTTACATTTTGGGACCACAAACACAATAGAACCCTTTTACTCTTTGAGTACCGGGCATAATGAGAGTTTGTTGACGTGCCACGTGTATCTCTTGAGTGTAATTACATTTGGTAAAAAGCATCCGCCACGATGATAAAATATTTGTGGCTCCTGACTGCATTCCCCGCTTCAAGTTTACCACTTCCCAAAAGTACTTTAAATGACTGTGGGGCGACTAAGCAGATTTTGCTCCACCCTCGGACCGGAAGTTCCCCCCTGCCGCACTCCTGAATAACAGTTCCCTCCTCACCACACCACCCACGTGCTGCCATTTTGATGTCAACAAACCAATATGGAGATGAAATTACATTTAATTATTTATGCCTTATCCGTCATCCGATAGTTAAAATCGAAGCCAAGCTGAACCGTAGCCTTAGTCATCATTTTGTGCAGATCCTGCCTGCCTGCTCCTTGAGCTGTGTGGCAGCAAAATCTTGTCTGTTGTCCGCAATAAATAAAAACAAAATAATATTCTGAGCCTCCACGATTTGCCGCACCAATATCAAATTTAATGCGGCGCGTGGAAGGCCTTTATGGAGCGTGGAAAGCAAAACAGAGGAGGGGAGAAACCTAACCCAGAAAATTATAGAAAGAGCCGTGTGGGAGACTGGCAGGGAGGCAAAAGATGCTACCCAAACTAAACTCTAAGACCAGGCAAGACGGGGATTTAGCATTTGGTAAACTATTTTTGGAGCTCAAGCACCAGATGTAAATTCATGTTTTACCCATGGCACATGTAGAGACACCTGTGTTTTATGCCACATACCGCCATCTAGACAGCTGTTCTTTATGCGGCGCTTTTGCCGAATGAATTTTCACAAGCCAACAGAATGGGAAAGGGAATGGAAATTTAATTTCCTTGCTGTCTGGTTTTTTCTTGTTCTTTATGTTTTATTTTGGAAATTTTTGAGGCTGCAAAACACACACAGAACTCTAATTTACACACACTAAAATATTTGGTTCATGGAACTCGACGCCATCTCTCCTTTGTCTGTGCGTGTTTCTTAGTCTGCCAGGCCGTTCCCAATTTGTAAAATATATTTGTCATGTGGCAATATGAAGCTGCGGGGACTACATACATGTATGTATGTACATACACACCTCAATCATCAAGTGAGTAACATTACTCTAGCAGACATCTAGCTGTATGTAAGAGTCAGACAGATGTGTTCCCACAAATACAGCTTAAACGAGAAGGGACGTGTGAGACGCTTCAGGCACTCAGGACTACATCTAGATGTAGAAGACATCGCAACCACTAGATTTCGTTCACATTACAGCACACGTAGTAAAAAGCCTACTAAATAAAATGCATCAAAAAAATTGGATCAGTTACTCGTATTTTCCAATTTATGAGATATTTAAAACATAAATAAAATTGGTACTTTTTCCCTGCACATTCTGTGCTTTGAATGTGAATCTATGAAAATTTCTTGTACGCAACGTTGATGGTCCAATGGTCTGCACATTCTGTGCAATAATGACCGATAGGTTTCACATCAGATTTTTCGGAAGTGGCACCATCTATGAAGATTTCTTGTACTCAACTTTGATGGTCACTCTTTTTCTAATACAGAGCGTTAAAAACCTAGTCTTGGTTTTAACTTTTAAAAATTAGCTTTTGGCCACCAAAAGTGGTCATTGGCACAATAGTGCATTTTTTCTTCATCTGTCATCTACATCTACAGCACTTCTCACACCAACACGCTCCATTAGCTAGACGCCCTTCCCTAGACTCGCACACTGCAGACTCGTGGCAGAGGCAGCGCCTCACACAAAAAAATAAACAAATATAAGCTGCGGGACGGGGTGGGTTAAAAGTCGGAAGAGTCATCGGCAGGGGGAGGACAGAGGCAGGGGCCGAGTGAAGCAGAAGCAGAGTGTGAATGAGAGAATGTAAAAATAGCAACAAAAGCTGCGGGACAGGATGGGTTTAGCCACTGGAAATTAATTTCTCCATTGTGGCTATAATAATGATCCGATCGGATCCCAATTTGGTGATCTGATAGATATGGCCATTTCCTACGGAATGGCGTTTTTAGTTTTCTTGTATCTTCAAAACTGTAGATTTGGGAGGTTTTCGCCCTTTTGTTGGGGCGGAAGGGGTGTGGCTCATTTTTTAAACTTAGAGTACCGGGTATAAAAATATGAAATAATATTCAAACTGATCTGATATCCTTTTTTAAACCCGGTACTTGAAGAGTAAATAGCGTATATTGTACTTGTGCGGGAAAAATGTAACACACAGAAGAAACCGTTTCCGACCCCACAAAGTATACATATATATTCATATATATTCATATATATTCTACAGCCACAAAATTTTGCATTCAGATGGCTTTATTCTCTCACTTCTACAAGTGTGTTTCAAAAATGAGCCCCGCCCCCTTCCGTTCGCCGTTATTCGCGAAAATCTGTTGTATCCACAGTTTTGAAGATAAAAGAAATTTAAAATTTAAAAAAGAAAGATCATATCTATCAGATCACCGAATCGGGATCCGATGGGATGATTATTATAGCCGGAATGAAAAAATTAAGTGGCTAAACCCACCAGCAGTTTTTTGTTTGTTTTTTGCATTAACAAGGTAGTTTCGTTTTACTCACACTTACAGCGCATAGCCCCATTCACTCGCACTCGCAAACATCAATGATAGTAGAGCACTTTTGCCGACGGCACCTCCTTATAAAATTACTTCATGGGCGTGTTGGCGTGAGAAGTGATGTAGATGTAGATGACATATGTAGCAAAAAAAGGTAATTTGAAAAAACCAGTAAGGTACAAATGTCCTACTGAGTGCCGGGTATAAAAGTTGAGACGCTTAAGAAGCTTCTCACACGTCCCTTCTCCTTTTATAACATTTTTTCAATTTTTTATTATTTGAAAAAATAATTTCAACACGAAATACATAGTTTCAGCTTCAACCACAAATAGTTTCGCCCAGTGTAAAGCAATAAACCGGTTTAGGCGTAAGCATCTTCGTGTTTTAGCTACATACACAAGCGCGCTGCGCTGTTTTAAACCATGAAGCAACTATACAAGGAGGTCTTGTCGGCGGCAGCGGCACTCCATTGTCGTTTCACTCACACTTACAGCGAGAGCCCTTTCAGTAGCACTTATTGACAGCATTGTTATGTTTCCCTTATTTTTCCGACGAGACCACCTTGTGTTGTTGCTTCATGGTTTTAGACGATGAGTCGAACCACTAAGCAAACAACTCATAGAGACGTCAAACGGACCTAAAACTGGCTGCCTAATCAGTATAGTGGATTGGCTCCCAGTGCCTTCGATTCTTGGTGAGAGAGCCTTCGGCTGAGAGAGTTTGGCGTTGGCTCTCTTGAGCATTGAACGCAAAGCGACTCTCGCAAAAACAAAGTTTGGGTTTTCCTTTTCAAGTCTGCTTCGTAATTGCTTGTGTGCGGTGACACATATGTACATACATAAATGATGGCAATGCGTGTATCTATTCTCGACTTCATATGCGTTTTCATTTTTAGCGCTTGAGACGTTTGTTACTTTTGTGTTGCTACTGAGCTCACATACCCTTCCTTCAAACTTGGGACTTTAAGAAAAAGCTTGCCCCAATAAAAATAAATTGATCTTGCGTATCCCCTCTATGCTCATATATTTCTTAAATACAGTTAGGACGAAAGGGATAAACAGTTATAAACATCTAAATATGTACATGTACAAATAATGAATAACGGCAATTGACTTGGCGTTGCAGATATTTTCCATTAGAGTATTCATCATACACTGTGTGAATAAACATAGAGTTATAGGTGGAGACATGGCAGCTGAGCCGAAAAAGAATTTATTTGTTTTTTCTTTTCACGTCGCTTTCGTATTCTGTTGTGTTCGGTTACACATGCATACATTTTTAAATACATACTTGTGATTTTAAGAGTTTAATATTTTAATTTTAAAAAGCTTTCGAAACAAGCAACGAACAAGAACAAGTAAAGCTGTTGGATGGGGTAGGGGTAACCACTGCCAATAAGTTTCTTCATTCGGGCTATAATAATGATCCAATCTAATCCCAATTCGGGTATTTGCTTCTCTTATTTTCAAAAATGTAGATACAGCAGAAACAGATACAGCAGGCCAAATTCGGTGGCTATTGATGCTGATCAAGAATATGTGTATATTCTTTATGGGGTCGGAAACGTTTCCTTCTGTGCGTTAAATACATCCACTATAAATGCATTGATTTCACACCACACTTAATAAACACATAAGCAAACAGCTGTCAATTGACAGAGTCGCTGACGTGTACATTTTAGCTGAGGCAGCACCACATAAACCAAGACCAGCTGCAAAACATTTGCCTCCAAAAAAACAGTGGCGACCATGATTTCTCCATTCATTGCCTTCTTTATTTAGTTATTTTCACTGAGCTTATGCGCAGAGACAAAGATTTATGTTTATTATACCCGGTACTCGAAGAGTAAATACAATATATTTGGGTGGAAAAGTTGACGTATGTAACGCAGAGAAGGAAACGTTTCTAACCCCATAAAGCATGTATAAAGCATAAAAGCTAGAGCCACCAAATTTTGCATCCAGACTTCTGTATGCTCACACTGTTACAAGTGTATTTCAAAAATGAGCCACGCCCCCTTCCGGCCCCGCAAAAGGGCTAAAACCTCCCAAATCTACAATTTTGAAGATACAAGAAAACTAAAACGCCATTCCGTAGGGAATGACCATATCTATCAGATCGCTAAATTGGGGTCCGATGGGATCATTATTATAGCCAGAATGAAGAAATTAATTTGCAGTGGATAAGCCCTGATCTGATAGATATGGCCATTCCCTACGGAATGGCGTTTTTAGTTTTCTTTTATCTTCCAAATTGTAGATTTTGGAGGTGTTCGCCTTTTGCGGGGGCGGAAGGGGGCGTGGCTCATTTTTTAAATACACTTGTAACAGTGTGAGCATACAGAAGTCTGGATGCAAAATTTGGTGGCTCTAGCTTTTATGGTCTCTGAGATCCAGGCGCTCAACAAGACGCTCAACGGACAGACGGACGGACAGACAGACATGGCTCAATCGACTCAGCTATTGATGCTGATCAAGAATATATATACTTTATGGGGTCGAAAACGTTTCCTTCTGTGTGTTACATACATTCACTTTGTGCACAAATACAATATACCCTATATACTCTTCGAGTACCGGGTATAAAAATAAGATGCCAAGGAAAATATTCTGATGTGATCCCCTGCCCACAATGGGAACGACAAATTCTTTTCTTAGACACTAACTCTGTTTATTAACTGGATAAAGGAACATGTTCTATAAGAATAATACGAATCTTTAGCCTAAATTCTAGTCAAACACGAGTAGGAACGCTTCGTACTCGTCACAACTTTTATACCCGGTAATCATTTAGTACAAGATTAAGTAGTTTAGTGTCCTACTTTGGCATCATCAGCTGCGCAACGTCCTGGCATGGATTACACTAAGTCCAGGCAAAGCTTTTCGGGAGCTTTGGACGAGGACTCTTAAATTTGTTCTCAAAGTGATCCGACAAGGTTGGTTTGGAAGCAGCAACTGCCTTCTGGATGGCGGACCACAAATTTTCGATGGGTTCAGGCGACTCTAACACGTTCAGTGTTGGCCCCGAACCGTTTCTTTGCTTTCATGCTTGGGGTTTTTACTGGTTGAAAGACCCATTCTAGTAGTATTTCATATTCTGCAAACGGTAGCATTACAGTCTCTATGATATCCACGCACACCTGCTGATCCTTGATGGTTTTTATTCAATATATTGAACCTACTCCATGGTAAGAGAAGCAGGCTCATACTATTAAATTAAACCTTTTATTTTTAATGGTTTTCTTTGGTGTCCTTGGAGGTCTTAAGTATGATCGAGATCCCTTTTCAGTAAATAAAACACTTTTTACTCATCTGACATTACAATTTATGCTCCATTATAGGGATGTCCAATTGGCATGCTCCCTTGCAAACATCATGTGCTTAGTAATATGGGCAGCAGGCCTTTAGGCCATGTTGTCTAAGATATATCCAAACTTTCTAGCCCGTCGCTTTTATTTTAAGCTCTTTATTTAAGCTCGATAGCAGGCTTAAGGGAACCTTCTTGCTCTCACGAATCAGCATTTAGACCATAAATGGAGTCATATGTAGATCGTTTTCGCATTTTATTGAAATTTCCTACCAATTGACCAAATTCTCTGTAAGTTTTAACGTCCGACATCATTTTGTTTCTAAGGTCGCGCTTCTTCCCATTTCAGAGCTTTCCACGTCTTATTGTAGTGATTATTATTAGCTTTTATGATAGAAACAATGAAAGATTAGTCAAAACTAATAAATTCGTGGTTTATACAAAGTCAATTTCGCGAAATGACGGATATTCACTGAAATAGTGCTAACAGTGCTATATTATTTTATTCGTCATGTTCACCATGCATTTTTTTCTTATAAAAAAAATATAAAGACAGAAATTTGAAGGAAGGAGAATACTTGACTATATGAAAAAATATAAATTGAAAAAAATCGCTACAGTAATTATTTTTTTGTTTGTCCAAGAACAAAATGTGTTGTAGTGGTGCTATTATTTTTTTAGCAACTGTATGTACATGTATACTTTATAGGGTCAGAAACGCTTCCTTCTGTCTGTTACATTTTTTGACTTAAAATAAAATATACCCCTTAAATAAATCATAGATTTTCCATAGTTTTCTCTCTCTCAAATGGGTAAATGTGCAGAGGAAGTATAGAAATTAGTGAAAGATGGAAAATAGGAAAAACGTTAATTCATAAAATATGTAAACTATGTACATATTTATAAGTTAAATATTTCCCCTGAAGTCTTTCGAGCCCTACATACATATTTACAGACATATACTGACTGAGTAAACCGGCTATAAAAGTTTTGACTCGTACGTCGTGTCTCACAGCGTTCCTCCTCGTTAAATGCTTTTTGGTTGTGTTCAAAATTTGCGTCCCTTGAGACATTGTGAGCAGCTCTTATGGGCTAGAGAAATCAATATTGAGCATTTGCCTTGTGAATCGCTGTAATGCATTTGTAGCGTTGCAACAGACAGCCCCACCAAAAGACCAAAGGCCATGCTAAGCGTCACTGCGACAAATAGGACGGCAAATCCTGACCTAAATTCGTCCTTGAGAAGTTAAGGGTAGAGATCTAGAAAAGGCTCGAGCAGAACAGAGCAGCATCTCTAGCGCGTTTGGGGGAGCTTTCAGCATCGCATCGGAAGTCGACAAAAAATGTTGTGTTGGTAAAATACTAATGCTATAGCTGGGCGATTTATGGTACAACCTTTTTCTCTATCGCCTTGTTTAACAGGGAAGCGCGGAGGGGGTGTAGCGACTTACCGTCTCGTGTGAGTGTTTCAGGAAATGCGACAGGAATGTGTTGGAGATGTTGATATGTTGTTTTTCCGGTTGGCAAAACTCTTTTGCGGGGTGCACTCTCACACACAAAAACACAGACGACTCACACAGAGAAAATACAGGAACGGATCAGAGAATGGCAGCATACGATTCCTCTAATTTATTGCCCCCTTATTGAAAACATTGAGCATGTTTCTCGTTCTCTCTCTCTCTCTCTCTTTCTCTCTTTTTCTCAATTTTTTTTAATCTATTCCAGGTAGTATATGGACGGGCACTGGCACGGGCACTGGCTAGAGGTGTGTCTGTGCAAAAATTCATGAACGCCGTGTGACGTTGAGTGCGAAGTCGACGTCAATGGCAACACGCGCGCCAAACAAACAAACTTTCGCTTTCGTTGCGCGTGGGGTCAGGAGCAACGACAAAAACAACATCAGCAGGCAGCGGCAGCAGCAAGCACACTCACACTCTCACGTATATCGCGCGAGTTAGCAACAACAAACAAAAAACACCATGAAAGCTTGGCAGTGTTAGTACCTATAACACTACCTTGCACCGCGAGCAAACCGAACCGTGCGACCGTGCAAACCAGAATGAACGCGAGGCATGGACCGAACGTCGTTTAAATGGCCCCAACCGCACAGTGGGGCAGTTGGATTTTTTTCTCAGCTAAATCTGAGCAGCAAAATTAATGAATATATCGTTGAAATGAATGAATGAATGTTTTTATGGATTTGTTAATTTATTCGGAGAAGGATTTTAAATTTGTTTTTAAATTTTTAACCTATGTAAATACATGCTTTATTTATTTTTTAACAAATAATTGCAATTGTCTTAAGGATACAAAAAATTCTGTTGACATTCTTATTTTATCTGAATCTAGTTTTGTATATACTATGGACAGAACTTTGTATCCCCATGCCTTTCAAGTCGCTTCTTCCACGTGCCTTTTTCTAGTTTGTACATATGTATATACATATGTATTCCCTGATAAGGCTTCCCTTGTTTTCGCCGATTTGTCATTATTTAACTAAGATACAAATATTATTCAGACATGGTGAATGTCAATTAATAATGATTTCCACATAGCTCGTCATGTGCATACAAGCATCCATCGCAAGCACACCAAAAATATATATTTTTAGCCACTCAGAGAGAAAAAAAAACACAAAAGTTGACACACATTTTGATATAAGAATATCCAGCCAGAGCACCCCCCGCCTTTCGCGTGGGCGGAAGTGTCTCTGCAGCAATGTTGCGGCAACACTTACTTAAAGAAAATCCATGTCTACATTGCACTATCGGTAAAAAGCCAGTTTTTTTTGCGTTAACCAAACCAAAAGAGCTAGACCTCTACCAATTTTCATGCATGTTCGTTTGACTAAAGTAGAATTTCGGAAAGAAATGTAGTCATTTGGAACCAGGGTACCTCCCGCCCCCATCCAAACAGGAACTCATTTACGTCGTATTTATTATAAAAAAAGGTATTCAAAAGGTTAATTATGATAAAAGATCCTTTAAAACATTTAAGAACTTTTCAAAAATGTATTTGATTGACTGATTTAATGTTTTTTTGGTTAAAAGTAATATGATGGGAATCGCTCCAACGTACAATTGAATTTCGCTTAGTACTTGTTTAACTAAGCAATAAGGATGATTTTCGTTTGAATTGTAATAGTTTCATCTTTAGTTACTCAGTTTTTGTCAATACTCATTGAACTATAAAATTTTATTGCGTCTGCTTCACGATTGTTGTTGGTCTAGACCTCCAGCAGCGCTGCACAAGTGAACTCTTAAGCATCTGCAAAATTTAAAATTGTTCGATAAGGGACAAAAACATGCAAAAAGCATTAACACCACGTGATTCTATAATATTTGGTTAATAACATGTAACTTGAACCTCTGTGCAGTGGTGTGCAGTGCAAAAGTAATATTCCACAGAAAACACGTGCAATTGTTAGTACCTAAAAATAAGCTAAAAAGACACACGAACAAAACATTAAATAGCTACACACGACTATAAAAAAACATGTATTAACAATTAATTTACATACCTCGGTTATTTGTATATTTTTACTCGCATATACACTTTGTAATCGAGCTACAATTACAGCGGCAAGATGCTCAATTTTCCCGCACTTTTTCACAAGTCAAAGCATATCAAAATCAGCCGACTTTTAAAGCAAAAAACATATGGTACTAGGTACAAATCTTCTACAACCAGTTTTGTTCTATCTGGATATTTAAGAATCAGAAAACTTAAGTCGCATTCAAATATTTTACCCAAAAAAATTACATAAATGCCAAAAATTCAGGCTTTTTACCCATAGTGCATTGGCAAAAAATACTCTAGCGAGATGTTTATTTGGGTTTTCGGGTTCTGTTTTGGGGACCTGCCTTCTGGCTGTTTTCCATCTCAGCAGACCCTGAGGCCCAACACCTCATCCCCCCACCCATGATCAGGCAATTTTGTCGCACGTGTCGGAAATTTTGTTACGGGCCATTGCTTTCGCTTCCTCTGGCTAACCCGTCTGAGCCACCCTTACGGATTTGTGTGTATGTGCTTGAATGGGTTGTGTTTGTGTTGTTGGTTGGATGTCCAAACATATACATACATTGTTTGGAACCCCAAATATCTCGCTGTTTATGTAATGAAAAGGCAATTCAATGGCCCCTGGCTTTTCTTGGGGCTAATCGGCGTGCAGGCGTGCTTGAGAAACTAACGGTAAACGGGAGGCGGGTGGATGTGATGTCTCGTTGTATTCGTCTGGATCTGAGAGTGACGTAGACTGTCCGTCTGGGCAAAAGCGACGAAGATGGCAGCAAAAGGGGAGCAGAAAGCAACAAAAGAGGAATTAGCATAACAGCATGAGTCTTCAGTTGTCGTCCCATCTCTTGCTCCCCTCTGTCTCTAGCTCTTCCATTCCATTTATTGATTCTTTCTTTATGTGTGATTTTAATGGACTCGTGGGTGTCTGCAAAGGCACGGGGGGCAGCCGGGTGACAATGATGGGGCACACACACTTTTCTATTTAAATTGCCGACACGTGTAAGCGCGTTAAATAAAGGCGCTGGGGTTGGGTGGGTGGTGGTGCTAGGCATCATTATATTTGCATGTGCGCCTATAAAACCCACGCCCCCCAATCTCCATGTCGTTTAATTGCCATTAACCAGCTGGGCTCGGCCGCCCTTTTGTGCCAGAGCCTTACAAGTTATGATGCACACCCAAATCCCTCCCCTAAGGCCACCCACCACCAATGTAATTGTCTATAAAATTTAAGTTAAGTTAAGTTCAAGTGTTCAAGTGTTCAAGTGTTAAGTTCAAATGGAAAGGGACGTGTGAGACGGTTTTATCAAATTTTAAATTTTTTCTTCATCTGTCATCTACATCTACAACACTTCTCACGCCCTCTCCCCTAGACCCGAACACCACAGAGGCACGCCAGAGGCAGAGGCACGGCAGATTGTGAATGAGAAAATGTGCAAAAAAGAAATAAAAGCTGCGGGACGGGGTGGGTTTAGCCACTGCAAATTAATTTCTTCATTCTTAATATAATAACGATTCAATCTAATCCCATTTCAATGACCTTATATATATATGGTCGGCACAAGTCATGGTGCTGAGCCGAACCGAACAAACGTCAGTGGTTCAAAATGCTAGTAATGATAATTACAAAACAGCATGTCCCATAGTCTGCTTAGGATTTTCGGACTCAACAACCGATAACTGAAATAAGATTGCCAAGTACCCAAAGAGGAAAATTTAATAATTGTCTGCAAAAGGCAGATTTAAATAAAGTTAAAAAACGGGTGACAAAAAAAAAATTAAATAATATATACGACATTTTTAAATGCACTTGCAATAGTGTGAGCATATAGAAGTCTGGATGCAAAACTTAGTTGCTCCAGCTTTTATGGTCTCTAAGTACTAGTACATACTAAGTACATATTATGTGAAAAATGAACAGTTATCTCTGAAAAAGGCATAACTCGATGAAGCTTATATCCTTAAAAAAACGTCAGAGCTTGCTATGATTACACAATCTTAGCAGTAACAAAAGCGAGATCGTGCTGAAGTACACTGATCGACTTAAAGTCGCCCCCTCAAGCTATCAAAGACATCTGAAAATATGGTTCATATGTAAGGTTTATAGGGCTGCTCGGTCAAGACTAGGTCCCTCGGAGACAGATCTACCCATTGTGATGCCCACACTTGTCATGGGATGTTATTCCGTGCAATGAGGGGTTATCAAAAACCAGCCCGAGGCCTCAATAAAAGAGCCAATTTCCATAGCGGCATGTCTGCCAGTAGGTGGTTAAGCACCACCGCCTGTCTGATCTTGATCTGGATGGGCCCGTCAGCTGCGATCCAGTTCTGGCGCACTCGTCCGAAATCTCATTTCCCGCGATGTCATCCTAGAAACTGATTTCGAACTAGTTATAAGAACATAAAGTTCCTGACAAATGTTAACATTCAATCACAATTGTTGAAAGTAGCAGCAGCGAGTTAGCAGCGGACTGTTGCTCGCGTTCGCTCACTTTCTTTCCCAACTTCTTTCCCACTTTCTTTCTTTCTTTCTCAAGCTCAGTACTACCCACCCCCGTACATTCCTATACACACGAGTCAACATACACATTTCTACATACTTACCACTTTACACTCTTCAAACATACATACATACATACATACATACATACATACATACATACATACATACATACATAATGATATACAATTCTACACCCGCGCCTTTTGAGTGCTTAATAAATCATCTGTATATATCATACGTATATTGTGTCGACTCATTTCGGGACCGAGGACTTATCTGCAGCGAAAGGAAGGCGCCCTACTACAAACAACAACATTTTGTATATAATACGAAAGAAAGGAGACATGCTAGATTGTATTGTATTGCATCGTATCTCTCTGCGCTGATGTTTACATTTGAAACTTCAATTGACGCGGGAACAAGCAGTCCACATGAAAGCAGTCCATATGCAAGCAGTATAGTGTTCAAGCAAGCTTTATATAACGAGCTTTTAACATAAAGCTCTGTTACGCTTATTTGGTGAACAAGCAGTTCCAGGCGGTTACTTTCAAATGGGTAACGATAAAACGTACACACAAATCTATTTAAACACTGAAATAAAAGTTATTAATTTATTAATCTAACAACATCATATCTGGATTTTTAAGCATTCCCTTATGTCTAGAAAAACTAGTAAGTATAATTAACGAGAAAAGGGTTAGCCGGTTAAATAAAAAGAAAATCAGATAATATGCTTGTTTTATTTATTCAAAAAGTATTTACTATTATTTTCCGTCTATTTTAATAACATTTTCATAATAAAATTGCTACGTAATGCTTTTTATTCTCATTTAATTCTGAGTAGATGATTTACTCCACCCATTCCCTCTGAATTCTAATTAGTCTATAAAAAGGGCCAGAAACCAACTTGGCTACATAAAACTCAATTGCTATATTAAAACATTTCAATAAGTAATGCTAACAGCAGGAAATCTGCGAATAGCTTGTGTTGCTTTCCTCTCAAACTCTCGCCACAAAAGCCAATATTCT